CCGAGCCCCAAAGGGCTTGATGAGGGGGCTGGGCTTCCAGTCGTCCATGCCGGATTGGCGGGTCACCAATGTCCTGGGCAGCCCATGCCTTCAGGAATCTGATGGGATCAGAGGGCCACATAGGGTAAGGTGGCCCTCCCAAAGTCTGATGCCTTCTGGAGAGATGAGGGAGGAACTCCCAGCAAGTCTTCCCTGCAAGCACCCATACTGTGTGACATGGGGAAAGTGGTTCAACTTCTCTGGGCCTGACAAGAAACCCTAGAAAGGGGTTGGATCACCTGGAAATTCCCTGAGACTGGAGTAACTCTCTGAATCAAGGCTGTCCAGGGGTGGAGGCCAAATAATCTGCTCAAAGTTCATTAGCCCCTACAAGGACCAAGCCCCAGGCCTCCCCAAGCCTGTGGTGGGCAAAGAGCGACCTCTCCTGCCCCAATCCTCCACCCTCATCCCATCCTAGCTGGCCCAGCTTCTCCTCCCAGGGCCCGGGGCCGCCCGAGGGCTCGGGAGACCTGCACCGTCAGCGCCACCCCTCCCGGACCCCCACGCTGAGGCACTCACGGCTTAGGGGCCCCGGGCCCCGCTCGGGCCCCGCTCGGGCCCGCATTGCTCGGCCCTGCGCGCCGCGGCCTCCGCCTCCTCCATGCCGCTCGCGGCCCCGCCCCGGCCTGGCGCGCCCCCCCGCTTCCGCCGCCGCCGCCGCCGCCGCCGCCGCCGCCGCCGCTGCCGCGGGGTGAGAGGGCGACAGGCGGCGCTTAGGGCGGCGGCGGCAGCGGCAGCGGCAGCGGCGGGGTGTCCGCAGCCAGGGAGTAAGGAGCGCGCTCAGACCTTGCTCCGCAGCTTCGCAGCCCGGCTGGCGGGTGCTGCTGCCTGCACGAGAGCAGCCCGTTCCCCCGCACCGCTGATGGCAAACCCAACTCCAGTCAGAGGCCTAGGACCTTAGACCTAGATCACAGGGCACGCCAGGGTCAGAGGGGCTGCAAGCCTGCGGCACAGCACACACACCACCCGCCCCATACCCCTCCTGGGCAAGGCCGGTACCTGGGTCTGGGGCATGCACAGCCATTGGAGGCCAAGGGAGATTAAAATCCAGGTTCTGCCGCTGTGCTAAGCAGTTTACTGATGACGTTTAATTCCACAGCAACCCCATGAGGTAGGCGCTATTATCATTATTTCATTTTTTTTTCAATTGAGACGGAGTTTCGCTCTGTTGCCCAGGCCGGACTGCAGTGGCACCATCTTGGCTCAGTGCAGCCTCTGCCTCCTGGATTCAAGCGATTCTCCTGCTTCAGCCTTCTGAGTAGCTGGAACTATGGGCGTGCACCACCGCACCCGGCTAATTTTTGTATTTTTGGTAGAGACGGGTTTCACCATGTTGGCCAGGCTGGGTCTGGAACCCCCGACATCAGGTGATCTGCCGGCCTTGGCCTCCCAAAGTGCTGGGATTACAGCCGTGAGCCACTGCGGCGGCTATAGGCGCCATTATTATCCCTGTCACAGATAAAGAAATGAGACCCAATGTCACAAAGCTGGAAGAGGTGGAATTGAAACCCAGCCTGGCTCCAGATTCTGCTCTTAACCACTCACTGCACTCCACTGGCAACAATACTTAAGAGTTGCCAGGTTTAAATAACATCATACATAGAAAGCACTTAGCTTAACACAATGGTTCTCAAACTTTAGATTGCATCAGAATCACCTGGATGACTTCTTAAAACAGAGGTGCTGGGCCAGTCCCTAGAGTTTTAGATTCTGTGGTCTGGGGCAGGGTGGGATTTTGCATTCCTAACAAGTTTCTACCTGATGTTGATGTTTGTTTGAAGTCAGTGGGTAGCCACAGAACAGTTTTAAGCAGGGGAGAAATATAATTCCATTTATATTTTAAGAGAACCTTTACTTTATTTGTGGAGAATGGTTTGAAAGGAGACTGAGGAAGCCAGAAGACCAGTTAGATTTTTTTTGAGCTTTCCATATTCCATCTGTTTCCTGAGTGGTGGGGTGATATCCCCCACAATGTTAACAGTACTTGTCTTAGGAGTTAAAGAAATAGATGATTTTTCTTAAGTATGTATAAGAATAGAAAAAAACCCAACACATTTTATTAGCATTTGAAAAAGATGTGCTGGCTGGGCACAGTGGCTGCTCACACCTGTAATCCCAGCCTGTAATCCCAGCAGTTTGGGAGGCTGAGGTGGGCTGGTCACTTGAGGTCAGGAGTTTGAGAGCAGCCTGGCCAACATGGTGAAACCCCATCTCTACTAAAAATACAAAAGTTAGCTGGGTGTGGTGGTGGGCTCCTGTAATCCCAGCTACTCAGGGGACTGAGGCAGGAGAATCGCTTGAACCCAGGAGGCAGAAATTGCAGTTGAGATCGCACCACTGCACTCCCGCCTGGGTGACAGAGCAGTAGTCTGTCTCAAAAAATTAAATTAATTAATTAATTAAAAGATGTCCCTTAGGGTTTCTTTCTGACCCTCTTTTCTCCTCAAACTCACTCTTCATGGATGATATCATTCTCTCATGACCTCTGTTACCAATCTAGATTCCCAAACTGACATTGGCAGTTCTAACCTCTTTCCTGAGCTCCAAGCTGCCTGATGTCCAGCAGGCCATCTTCACAGCCCCCTCTAACACACCAGCACAACTGCTGGAATCATTTCCTTTTACTCCTAGATCTCTTGAGGGCTCCCCTCCTCAGTGAACTGCACCAGGCCAAAGAGCTGGGAGTCACCCTTGACTTCTTGTCTTCTCCAGTGACCAGTCGAGGTATGTCTTCCTCACCATTGTATTCTCTACACCACACACAAAGGGTGGCACATAGTAAGCTCTCCAGAACATTTGTTGAAATCATTCATTTGTATTTTTTAACAAATTTTTATTGAATGCCACTATAAATGAATGTAGACAGTCACCTAGTCCTGTCAGTCTTACCTCCTGAAGGGCCTTCCATTCTAGTCTAATTCTTCTCCAGCCTCACAATCAGCCCCTGGTGTAGTCCATTTCAGTTTCTTGCTTTCCAACCAGTCTCCTTGACTCTAGATTTTTACTCCTCCCATTCATTTCTCCTTGCAAAATCCAGAATGATTTCTTTTTTTAAAGGCAAATGTTGCTGGGTGCAGTGGCTCATGTCTGTAATCCCAGCACTTTGGGAGGCCAAGGCAGGCAGATCAACTGAGGTCAGGAGTTTGAAACTCGCCTGGCCAACATGGTGAAACCCCATCTCTACTAAAAATACAGAAATTAGCTGGACGTGATGGTGGGTGCCTATAGTCCCAGCTGCTTGGTAGGCCGAGGCAGGAAAATGGCTTGAACCAGGAGGCGGAGGTTGCAGTGAGCTGAGATCATGCCATTGCACCCCAGCCTGGGTGACACAGTGAGACTCCATCT